TTTTTTTTTTTTTTTTTTTTTTTTTTTTTTTTTTTTTTTTTTTTTCTTTGTTAGATAAGTTTTGTAATTTTCCGGAGTATTTATGCGAGGGGGTAGCCCTTTTTTCGCTCGGGGAGATACACGTCCGTAATGGACCTCCGAAATTTGGCCACGTGTTTCTGTTGATTGTACGAGACGATGTAAAAAAATCTGGCATATAATAGTGCAAAATATATACTTAAGTGTATACGTCAACGGTGCCACCAGATCTTCGATCTATACGTATATACCAACTGCTCCACCGTAGATTATGCGCACTTTGAACACGGGGATATCCCCGAAATTTCGATTACCATTACAAAAGACAATAACAACGAGCCCGTACAAGGTCGGTTGATTGTATATATTCAAGGCTGAATAGCAGCACATGTGTTGCTTTCGAGGCGAAAATTCGAAGAAACGTTCCCCCGCAAGAGCGATAATAAGCATCTGATAAAAGACGAGGGAAGGGAGCCTCTCCGTCTATACGAGCATCACGCAGTTGGCTGTTCCCACTGACCTGGAGAGGAAGTCTATATAAGAGTGGACCGTGCAACATTTCAAATCCCCGGCTGGGGATGCGCGAAAGGACAAAAAACGAAGACATCGAGGGTATACCCACACGGAGGCCCAGAGCAGTCACTTCGGGAGATCGAATTAAGATGTAGGCGAGCGAGTGATTTACGTCGCCCGTGACCCTCTAATTGGCATCCCAAAGCAGCGACACGCGTACACATACGTGCCCACCAAGCTACGCTGTTTTTTTTATTGCCCGTGTGGATGTTTTTTATATCTATATGTATCGGATGTAAATGGCTGGCACCTCCCTTCGTCTCCCCATCTCGCGCGTATGCGTAATTAAACGCGTGGGTGTGTCACTCCCTCCGTCCAACTGCAGAAACAGTCGCTGTCAATTAAGGTATTCCCCAAAGGACCATTGCGCTCGAAACACCAGCGGCAGTGGAGTATTTGCAAATTTTTTATTTTTTTTTACTACTCCGTCCATGTACGCGCGGGAGATCGGATACGTCCATGTTTTTCCTGCAACGCTCGGTTGTAAAAAAATACGGTCCTGTTGGGCCCTTTCGCGCGATTTCATTTTGGGCTTTTTTTTAGAGCAGAGGACCATACACTGTGTTTATTTTTAATAAAGGATTTTTTTCGCACGAGGCTGTTTTCCATGCAGGATGTCCCGCGCGATACTTTTTGTTTGCACGGAAAGACCCCCCGTTTGAATTAACGCTTGGTCACGTAAAACCTCGATTATTACCATAACGCCACACAGCGGACGAACTTTAATTCGGCCTCCCATCGGCCCGTGGGCCAATTAACCCAGTTTGCTCGGCTGTGTTTGAACGCATAAACACGTCCCCGGAGCTCGGAAAAAAAAACCCGCTTTGGCTCCTCCGCTGGAGTTTTGTTTCTGTCCCAAAGCGAGTCTAATGAAAAAGATAAAATCTTCATTCGGGTATGCATAAAAAAAAGGAAAAAGTTATTATTTTTTTTATAATTATGGTTGGAACAGTAAACCTTAAAAGGATCAGTTAATTAACTTTACTTTTCCACGTATAAATTTTTACTGATCCAACCGTAATTTTTACTTTTTGAACTATGATAATTTTTACGGGAAAAACAACAACTTTTTCCTTTTTTTACGAGCTTGCATTCAATTTAATGTGTGGAATGGTAGTTTTTCCTGGAATTACTCTATAATTTTCATTATTTTTTTTCTCTCAGTATGGTTTCAATGCTGTACAGTTTCAATTAAATACTTCAAATAAATTTCACTTGAATTAGGACTCAATAATCAGGGATTACATTTTGCTGTTCATTAAATTGAGTAAATAAATTAATATTTTTTAATTATAGGTAAGATCTGCTGTCCCAAAATACGTTAAGTATCCAATTAATTTACCCTGAAATGATAAAATTTTTATTTCTGTTACAGGTCAGTAAATAATCCGGAAAAAATGCAAAATTTGACATTAACCAGGGATACCGGCCGCTTGTCCCTTGCACAGAGAATTTTCTACGAACGCAATGGTTTTCTGGTCCTTCCTCGAGTGATTCCTCATGGCATACTCGATAGATGCAGCGAAAGGTAATTACCATCGTATCTTGTCTTTTTAAGAAATAAAAGCTCGTTTACTGTTGATTCGTTATTGGGGGGGGGGGGGGGGATGTTTTCAGAGTAGAGGCACAGAAGTAGCTCAAGAATTATTATTTTTTTTTTTTTAATTTCGTAGAGACAACTTAATATAATTCTAAGAGCAACAGTACTGTAGCTACGAAATTGAAGGGAAAAAAGCAACAATTTCGCAATCACTGATGAAAATTAACTTTCAACTTCACCACCAATCTCAATGGGAACAAAAAAAAAGCATTGAAATACCGATAACCGAATAAGGCATCGTTTATTTTTCCTTGAAAAAAAAAAAAAAAAAAAAATCGTTTCCAGATTCGAGGGATACGCGAGCGGACGCGTAGAAAAGGGCATCACCACCATAATGAGAGACATCACGGACCGCAAGTTGGTCAACAAAATTCAGGACATACTGCACGACGACGTTTTCCGCGAGTACTTCGAGAACAAGGAGCTGCTCGACATAATCGAGACCTTCGTTGGGCCGAACATCATCGCGGTTCACAGTATGCTGATCAACAAGCCACCCGACGCCGGGAGCGGCAGCTCCAGGTGGGCCAATTTTACCTTTTACGTACCAATATTATGTTTCGTCGATCTATGGTGCAGAGAACAAGTAACTTATTTATTATTTGCAAGCTCGATCGTGCAACTTTGCGTAACTCGATATCTCACCACTGTACACATTTCTGCGCTTGAAAAGAGATACTAACTTTCTTGATAAGAAGTAAAAAGAGAAATCAACGATAGTTTAATTTTAATTGTCTGTCTTTTCACGGATGGAGGAACTTTGGTGAATTTTACGGTAAAAATACGTTAAAGTTGGGAAGAAGAAACGTAAGGAACTGTAATTACCCTCCACCCCTTCTTTACGATAATTCTTACTGTAATTTTATTGTCAAAATTTCTGTTTTTGCAGAGCAAAAAAATTGCCATACTTCTTTTTTTCTATTTTACACCTACCATCATGTATATTTTGTTTTTATAGATTTCTTGCGCTAATAAGCACGTACCTATACTCATATATGTGTTTACTTGAAAATTTCATTGTTAATTAAAATGATGTATACTTTCATTAAAAGGGATTCAATTATCTTTGAAAAGTTTTAGTCTCGTAAGCTGTAGGTGAGAACCTTTCAATTGTATGAAAATGGGGGAAAAAAGAAGAAAGGCCAATCGCGATAGAAAGTGTCGAAACAAAGAGGGAAACGAAATAAAAGAGAGCGAAAATCCTTTGAGTCCTTGATGACGCTTTTTTTTCAATCTTACTATCTACTGTTTCTTCTATGTCGTTCGTTTTTATTAGATTTTTCACGAATAAAAGAAAGAAAATATAAAATAAACTCGCTATTGTTTGCCGATGAAAAAAAGAAAACGAGTATTAGTTACACCAGGATTTTCTTTTGGCTAGGGAAGTGAGTTTTTTTTTTTTTTTTCTTACAAAAATCATTATTACTACTCACTTGTTGATTTAACGTAAGCAAAAAAAAAATTATTATAATCACGAAAATTATCAGAAGTGATGTTTAAAGAGAGTAAAAAGCTCGTATCCATTCAATAGACACCCCCCGCATCAGGATCTCTACTACTTTCCCTTTCGTCCAGCCGACAAAATAGTAGCCTCCTGGACAGCGATTGAAAAATGTAACAGGGAGAACGGCTGCCTCCATGTCTATCCCGGATCGCACCGTTCCTACGACTTGCAGCCTCATGGGTACCCCAAAGACGTTGTCAACAAAATGTACCACGGCATTCAAGTGATGATCCATACTTATTTATCGAATAATTTTCCAACTGGAGGGATCTTATAAAACCTCGTATACTTAACAGGGCTTGCCAAGAAAACGGTGCAATCGCACGTACAAAAGCCCTGAGAGGTTGTACAAGATTCATCCAATCGGGTTATTTTTTAATTTAAAGTTATTGGTTTAATCATTTTTTTAACGAGTTGAAAATTAACGTTGGAGCAATGTAGTATTTAAAATAAATTTTAACTATCTTTCATTCTTGAAGTATTGATTTACACGTCCAGCTATTTCTTCCTTGGAAAAAAAAAAAAAAAAAAAAAAAAAAATAATTTTTGTCCAAAATCGACACATTATATTAATAGTAAAAAATGGGGCAGGTATCCGTGTCCAAGTCCAGTACATAAAATATGTACACTAAATTAGCATTGTAGAACAAAAGTTACTACTACCAAAATTAATTTATATATATTGACAGAATCTCATGAAAGATAGCTTAAACGTGTCCAAAAAAAGCTAAAGTTGCACCGTACATACGTGATGTTCCTCTGTAATATGTTGTAGATGGACCATTTTGTACTGAACATTTAGTTGAAAGAAAAAAAAAATTTGCACGAACGTGACTAGCGAAAAATTCTCCCCTAAAAGTATGTCCCTCCTCCCCTAAAAAGCTCACCTCACAATGAATGTACACTGTACTCGCCTCGGCTTTTTATTTTCCACACTTCTCGAAAGTAAACAGTTGGTTCAGCTACGAGGGTACTACTTATACTTTGCAAAGTGAAAAGTTTTCTCTATGCCAAGAAACGGAGGAAAAAGCGTACGTTATGGTCTAGCCAGGGGTGGTGAGACTTTATACATTGGCGTGTATTTTACAGCGACTATCTGCCGTTGTGGGTATACCCACGCTTGGGGAGGGAAGAAAATTTATGAGGAAAACGCATTGAAAAATGTAGATGGTAGGGGTACCACGCCGTACATTACGGCGAATAATTAAAGAGCAGCAAAAGTCGATCTTTTCTTTCTGTCTTCCGGCTCGCGTCGATTTTTAAGGTTGTAGACCTTTCGCGGAGGCATACATCGATAATAATGTTTGTCTGCTTTACATATTACCTCCGAGGGGCTTTAGCCTCATGCAGTTACCTATAGGTATTGGTATTTATGGACCTACACTTTGCGGATATTACAATATGTATATATCAAAGTCTTTTTCCATCTTGGGTATAAGCGTCGACACGTGTCAGTGTATATACCTGTGAGTATAAATAATAAGTGTAAGGGGTATCCATCGAATGGAGTATATAACATAATTTTTCGAGATTCCGCAAAGTCCGATGCTTGAATCTAATTGTTATAGACCCCTGTCACATTTTTTAAACAATTACATCTAATTAGCTTTACAATGTCTATAGAGGAGACGTGGGCATGATGGTTTTATAATCTTTTAAACTATTCGAAATAATTAATTATTAAGAATAATACTGTTTTCGTGTGTAAAAAAATGTTTTTGCTAACAGTAGTGCAACATTTTTTTAGAGATTAAAGTTCTTCATAAAGCGTTTAAACAAGTCTTGCACTTTGCAGGTTTTTCTTATATTAATATTTTTATTAATGTTGTTTTAACGAAAATATAGGTTATCTTTTCCGAAATTTTATCAATAATGTGATTGAAAAAGTAATTAAACTTTTAAAGTTATTTCGAAATGTCACGACATATTTTTTTAATTTCCGATTTGTAAAATGTATTTTTATTGATTAATGCTACTCACTTACATTTTGACACATATTATGTCACTATAAATGGTACATTAGTATGTAACATCACATAAAAAATCCATTTTTCTTTTGATTACAATAACAAAATAATTTTGAAAAATTCAATTAAAATTTCGTGACAGAAATAAACCATCAAATGCGTAATTTAAAAACACAAAGGTCCACATTGCACCAATAGGATGTTCGATGATTTTATTGATCGACGTTTTCCTCAAGAATTGTCTTCGTTGCTGAATCGTATTGAGTTTGCCAAGTACAAAATTGCGTGGATTTATTTTTTAGATACAAATTTATAATACAATACGAAATCAATTTGTCTGGCATGTAGACCTGCTTCGAGATAATCCTCGTACGAGCGCATTAACTGGACGAGGATTACCCTTAAACTGCTTACGGTACCGGGGAATTGGAAATTAGTTGAAAAACTATAAGTTTGATTTGTTTTGAGTTAAAAAAGTGAGACTGACGCGTTCACCTAAAAAATAACTGCGTGTCATCACACGAGACTTTAAGTACAAATTTATTTGAAGAATTGGTTTACTTTTCACTATGAAAAAAAGTGATTTTGAATAGTATCAAAAAAAGGTTTTAGACTATTGCCAGTGAATTACCGATTTTTTTTCAAACAACCGCCACCCCACAATTGAGTCGAATTTCCAACAAAATTACTTTAATGCAATTCTAAATGTTAAACACGTTCAGCTAATAGTATACTATTATTCGCTTCTCTTAATCACCTGCTCCCCGTGCATTGTTAATTTCTAACTATCTAGATTTTTCAATTCAATGGCCCATTCAATGGACATTTGCATATTATTTTTGAAAGCGTGTAGTTTACAGTTGCTGCTTTTCACAAAATCTATGACATTCAGACGTGAGCAAAATAATTTAATATTTTTTTCCATAAAACAATACATTATTTTTACTAAATTTTTTTTTTTTTCATTACTTGCGTTTTTTTTAGTAAAAATTGTGTGATGTACTTATACTTTTAAAGAATAAAGATTAGTATTTAAAGTATTATAATAAGTATTTAATATGATTTGCGGACACTTTTCTATACACCTCGACATTTTTTCTTCTAAATATTTTTATCTCATTTAAAATATAATGCATTATTGCTGGGAAAATTTTTTTAAGTACTATTATGTAAGTAGTAATAAAATAAAAAATCCATGTGCATCATCAATTTAATTTTTTTTGTATAAACTTGTAACAGAAATTTTTGCAAACGATTAAAAAGCCTTAAAAACAATCAAACTTAATTATTATAAATTATTTAACCAACTCTACTAAATTGAACGATTTTTTTTTTCGTTAAACATTGCAAAATTTTATAGTGTTGGTTAAACTAATACAATATATTAATTTGGTTATTTCTCAAATTATCATCCATACCATTATTATTATTATATTATTATTATTATTATTATTGTTGCTACTAAGATGTATTTCGTAGAAGGATTAAAAATATATTAGTTACACACTTAAATATACTATTGTTATAAAGAAAGCAATTATTAAAATTTTGTGGTCGAGCAGGAAACACCGCTGCTTCCCATTTCGAGTTGGTGCGTGGGTATTTTCTTTATTGAACAACATAGTCAATCATAGATATCAACGTTGCCGTTGTTTGATAAAAATTTTAGTCTTCTTTACAAAAGAAAAAAAAAAACTCTTGTCAGTACGAAGACGAAGATTTAAATACGAAAATCGAAGTAATAAATCTACCACGTGTAAAATAAGCGCGGCGAAGGAAAAAAAAAAAAAAAAAAAAGAGCCCCCGCGAACTAACTTTCCACCACTCGATCATCCGCGAGTTTGCGCTCACCGACAAGGGACGAAAATACCACCTGGTAATTGCTCGGTTCAATTAGCAAAAAGAGGTGCCAAGAGTACACCTCGACACTCAACGTGCGCGTGGCGCTTAGCTATGTACCCGTCGCAGCTATTGCCGAAAAAAAAAAAAAAAAGATACAGATTTTCATCACAATATCTTTCGTTTGATTCTCCTGTATCCATACTTTTTTAAATTATTTTATTGTTAATATTCATAATAAATAAAAAAAACTCGACTTTAGTNTAAGAACATATTCATTGTCTTTCGTCCGCAAGCTCGTAAGAAAAAAAATAATAAAAAAAAAAACTCACCCAAGTACGGTATCATCGCTGCCCCTCGCTCCCGCGTCCGCCAATTAATGCGCACCACGGCCAGTCGGCAGGACTCGATCGACGAACGAGCTTCCCTCCGGGGTAGAACTCGCGCCTCCGGCAACAACGCGGTTACCGTTGAGTCCGAACAACCGCCCGCGAAAAAAGCCCGGCGGTAAAAAATTTGCTTCGGGGGAGCCGTCGGTGCGAGTCGCCAGATCGCCGCGGAGCTTTTGACGAGCAGCCGGCTCCCATGCCACATAGGGCATGTTATACCGAGCGACGCCGACGCCGCAGTGCCACGTGTGCCGCCACTCTCTTGACGCACGCGCTCGAGCTTCCTCAAGGGTGCTTGTATATATCGGTGATGCTCTCCGGGCTATTGGCACTCGTCGAGCTTTAAAAATGGCTTAGCCTTTTTATTTTTGATTCCGGACCACGAGTAATGGTGGTGATGGTTATTATGAGCCGTTACACGCGTTGTCGTGTGCGCGACTCAAAATAAAAACGGTATGGGAATTGGAAGGTTTCGCTCGATCTATTGGCCGTCTTCGATTTTTGTTTGGGACTTTGGCTCTTCGAGTCACTGGTGCGCCAATCATTGACTTTTAATTTTCTCGCTATTGGTCTTGGTCGGGATGCTGGTGTAAGAATATATATATACTTCTTTGAATCTTAGCGAAAATTGAATGGTGCCATGAAAGAAAAAAGTAATAAAAATTATAGAGAAAATCCAGCGAAAAATACCATTTTGAACAGTAAATTGGATGCAAGCTGGCAAAAAAGGAAAAAGTTATTATTTTTTTTATAATTATGGTTGGAACAGTAAACCTTAAAAGGATCAGTTAATTAACTTTACTTTTCCACGTATAAATTTTTACTGATCCAACCGTAATTTTTACTTTTTGAACTATGATAATTTTTACGGGAAAAACAACAACTTTTTCCTTTTTTTACGAGCTTGCATTCAATTTAATGTGTGGAATGGTAGTTTTTCCTGGAATTACTCTATAATTTTCATTATTTTTTTTCTCTCAGTATGGTTTCAATGCTGTACAGTTTCAATTAAATACTTCAAATAAATTTCACTTGAATTAGGACTCAATAATCAGGGATTACATTTTGCTGTTCATTAAATTGAGTAAATAAATTAATATTTTTTAATTATAGGTAAGATCTGCTGTCCCAAAATACGTTAAGTATCCAATTAATTTACCCTGAAATGATAAAATTTTTATTTCTGTTACAGGTCAGTAAATAATCCGGAAAAAATGCAAAATTTGACATTAACCAGGGATACCGGCCGCTTGTCCCTTGCACAGAGAATTTTCTACGAACGCAATGGTTTTCTGGTCCTTCCTCGAGTGATTCCTCATGGCATACTCGATAGATGCAGCGAAAGGTAATTACCATCGTATCTTGTCTTTTTAAGAAATAAAAGCTCGTTTACTGTTGATTCGTTATTGGGGGGGGGGGGGGGGATGTTTTCAGAGTAGAGGCACAGAAGTAGCTCAAGAATTATTATTTTTTTTTTTTTAATTTCGTAGAGACAACTTAATATAATTCTAAGAGCAACAGTACTGTAGCTACGAAATTGAAGGGAAAAAAGCAACAATTTCGCAATCACTGATGAAAATTAACTTTCAACTTCACCACCAATCTCAATGGGAACAAAAAAAAAGCATTGAAATACCGATAACCGAATAAGGCATCGTTTATTTTTCCTTGAAAAAAAAAAAAAAAAAAAAATCGTTTCCAGATTCGAGGGATACGCGAGCGGACGCGTAGAAAAGGGCATCACCACCATAATGAGAGACATCACGGACCGCAAGTTGGTCAACAAAATTCAGGACATACTGCACGACGACGTTTTCCGCGAGTACTTCGAGAACAAGGAGCTGCTCGACATAATCGAGACCTTCGTTGGGCCGAACATCATCGCGGTTCACAGTATGCTGATCAACAAGCCACCCGACGCCGGGAGCGGCAGCTCCAGGTGGGCCAATTTTACCTTTTACGTACCAATATTATGTTTCGTCGATCTATGGTGCAGAGAACAAGTAACTTATTTATTATTTGCAAGCTCGATCGTGCAACTTTGCGTAACTCGATATCTCACCACTGTACACATTTCTGCGCTTGAAAAGAGATACTAACTTTCTTGATAAGAAGTAAAAAGAGAAATCAACGATAGTTTAATTTTAATTGTCTGTCTTTTCACGGATGGAGGAACTTTGGTGAATTTTACGGTAAAAATACGTTAAAGTTGGGAAGAAGAAACGTAAGGAACTGTAATTACCCTCCACCCCTTCTTTACGATAATTCTTACTGTAATTTTATTGTCAAAATTTCTGTTTTTGCAGAGCAAAAAAATTGCCATACTTCTTTTTTTCTATTTTACACCTACCATCATGTATATTTTGTTTTTATAGATTTCTTGCGCTAATAAGCACGTACCTATACTCATATATGTGTTTACTTGAAAATTTCATTGTTAATTAAAATGATGTATACTTTCATTAAAAGGGATTCAATTATCTTTGAAAAGTTTTAGTCTCGTAAGCTGTAGGTGAGAACCTTTCAATTGTATGAAAATGGGGGAAAAAAGAAGAAAGGCCAATCGCGATAGAAAGTGTCGAAACAAAGAGGGAAACGAAATAAAAGAGAGCGAAAATCCTTTGAGTCCTTGATGACGCTTTTTTTTCAATCTTACTATCTACTGTTTCTTCTATGTCGTTCGTTTTTATTAGATTTTTCACGAATAAAAGAAAGAAAATATAAAATAAACTCGCTATTGTTTGCCGATGAAAAAAAGAAAACGAGTATTAGTTACACCAGGATTTTCTTTTGGCTAGGGAAGTGAGTTTTTTTTTTTTTTTTCTTACAAAAATCATTATTACTACTCACTTGTTGATTTAACGTAAGCAAAAAAAAAATTATTATAATCACGAAAATTATCAGAAGTGATGTTTAAAGAGAGTAAAAAGCTCGTATCCATTCAATAGACACCCCCCGCATCAGGATCTCTACTACTTTCCCTTTCGTCCAGCCGACAAAATAGTAGCCTCCTGGACAGCGATTGAAAAATGTAACAGGGAGAACGGCTGCCTCCATGTCTATCCCGGATCGCACCGTTCCTACGACTTGCAGCCTCATGGGTACCCCAAAGACGTTGTCAACAAAATGTACCACGGCATTCAAGTGATGATCCATACTTATTTATCGAATAATTTTCCAACTGGAGGGATCTTATAAAACCTCGTATACTTAACAGGGCTTGCCAAGAAAACGGTGCAATCGCACGTACAAAAGCCCTGAGAGGTTGTACAAGATTCATCCAATCGGGTTATTTTTTAATTTAAAGTTATTGGTTTAATCATTTTTTTAACGAGTTGAAAATTAACGTTGGAGCAATGTAGTATTTAAAATAAATTTTAACTATCTTTCATTCTTGAAGTATTGATTTACACGTCCAGCTATTTCTTCCTTGGAAAAAAAAAAAAAAAAAAAAAAAAAAACTAATTTTTGTTCCAGAATTTGCCAGAGTCGATAAATTGGATTGACGTGGAAATGGAGCCTGGAGACACAGTCTTCTTCCATCCATTGTTAATTCATGGCTCTTGGAAAAATGTGTCAACTCGAACCCGTAAAGCCATCTCTTGTCACTACGCGGCTAGCGATTGCACATACATAGACGTAAGTAAACTCGTTAATTTACATCAAAATGTGTGTAGAGCGAGTTAAATAAATGATAAGCAATAGATCCAAAGAATCCTGAAAACTTTTAAAAATCAAATGTGATTCTTTCTAGACGAAGGGAACTGTGCAACAAGAAATTCAAGATGAAGTTCTGGCGGTGGCAAAACGACGTTTCCCGATATCAGAAGACACTACTGCTACTGACATTTGGAAGCTGAAATCTTCTTTAGTTCGCGGCGTTCGGTCTTCCCTGTAGGAATGTTTCTTTTTCTTTTACAAAACAACTTGGTTTAATTTTTTAAAAGGCATCAAATGAGGACAAAAACAATTTGTGGAGCAAATAAAATCATTACTCAAAAAACTTATTGTTGGGATAATCGGCAGTAGGATGTATTGTTGATAAGGAATTACATGTAAGGTCTATAAAATCTGCAGCAGAAGAAGATGTAACAACGATCTTGAGATCGTTCTCGTTATTATTATCATTATTTTTCTTACTATGACCATTTTCAATAACAATCGAATGTCTTTTATGTCTTTGTACGGCAGAACCGCTCCCAGGCAATTGGGAAAGGTAACAATGCTTAAAATTAGGATTTTTGTACGTATTTTCGTGCTCGACGCTCGTACTAGAGGTACGACATACTGCGAGGCACAACTGAAAACGGTCGAGGCTTCTTAAACGCAGCTTCAAAATGTCCTCACCTTTCCGCAATTGTATATTTTCTTTACGAATTCGTTCTGACACTGTATTTTTCTTTTTTTTGACCTGAAAAATGTATAACATTAGTATTAGTACTGTAAGTATTCAACAGTTGTTTATTACTGCCCTATTGTGATTTCAACTAATGGTTTTTCACTTAAAAATGTAAAATACATAGTTTAGTCTTCATGCTCAGAATGTGACGTAAATTGTGGCATCTTTTGACTAACCGTACCGTTTCAGGGCAACAATATCGATATAAGTAAATGAAATGTGGTGTAGTTTTAAAATTTTTAAATAAGTTTGTAATTAGTCTAAATATTTAAATATTTATTTGAAATTGTTATGTTTGATTGAATAAAGATTACCTTGTTAGGATCAAGGCAGCAAGAAACGCAGTATTCATATATTTCACAGCACCCTTGGGGATTACATGATGTGCAAGGATACCTGATTTTTTCTATCAAAGGCACTGAGTTTGATAACATCGCAGTTTTTTCTAATTCATGAGGATTACAACAGCCATTAGGAAGTACATTGTATGTAGTACACAAGTAACCCTGTTCATCAACAATTAGAAACTTGCCCTGAAACATTTAAAAAATTGATTGTTTGTTTTCAACCATCACTTAAGTCGCATAGGAATTGGTGTACCGTACTTGAACTGAGTTACGACAACTTTTTACAAAAGTATCATTATCATTAACGCTATCTACAAAGGGAATCTCTGCAGAAATGGCATTCCCAATATCATTCATCACCTCCATTTGCCACAACAACGGTCTGTCAGAGGGTCTAGCCACCTCTTCCAATCCATCTTCATCGTTGAAAATGTCATTGCTATTTTCCCCAAAATTCATATTATCCATATCATCGAAATCATTTCCAAGTGCTAGTCCTTTTTTCTGCGGACAAAATTTCATTTTTCAGTTTACAATTTAACAAGAATTATTTCAATCAATCATCAAGAATGATACAAACCTCATAAAGCAATAAACTGATTAAAAAGTACATAAACAATAAGAGACAAATAATCACAAGTATTGTCCGTCGACGAAAATATCTAAAGTAGTTAGTCCAAATTGGCATGCTTCAAAGACTTTGCTTCAAGGTATTTTTCGATCTTCAATGTTTGATGTATTATTTACAATAAATTTGTAAGAACGTATAACATGCAGAAGGGCTCTTCTCTTTCCACACATTGTGAATTGCACTCATTCTGCTTAACACACAATATCAATAACAAATGCATTTATTTTAAAATGTTGTTTATAAAATTATATTTAAATTAGTTAACATGTACCTTTATTGAATAACTAATAAAGTTTATTTAGAAATATGCGTAAACAGGTAAACAATCATTCGAGGTTATGTCACTCCCAAAAATATGTACACAAGCACGACAATCGCGAAACATTTTATATATAAAGATGTATAATGAAATAAAAGATTTCAAGAATTCTTTTCAATGATTCTGATTATTCTACAATAAAATTATCATGATGCACTTATGTTTTATTAAAAAAACTTTAAAAATAAAGTGATAGAATCAAGCTTTTCCACTCCAAGCA